ACCTTTTATCTATTGTGAATGTTCTCCTATGAGTATTTCAGAAGTTCATGGAAGGGCTGGTGTGGCATACTGGGTAAAGCTGCAGCCTGCGATGCTCACATCCCATGTAGGTGCCGGTTTGAGACCCAGCTGCTCCACTTCAGATCCAGCTCCCTGCTAATGCACCTGGGAAAGCAGCAGAAGATGGCCCAAGTGTTTGGCCCCTGCACTCATATGGAAGACCTGGAAGAAGCTCCTGGCTCCTGTCTCCTGGCTTCAGCTTGTCCCAAACCCGACCATTGTGGCCATTTGGGGAGTGATGGAAGATATCTCTTCCTCTCTCTGTGTAACTTTGCTTTCAAATAAATAAGTATTTTTTTTTTAAAAAAAAGTTCATGGAAAGGGCATAGTACAAAAGAACTATGTGTGGCTTTCAATTTTGCACCAAAATAAACTCCTCCCATATCACGGCCTGCACTTTTGATCTAGCTTCCTGCTACTGTGCCTGGGAGGCAGGAGATGATGGCTCAAGTGCTTGGCTCCCTGCCACCCATGTGAGAGACACCTAGATGAGTTTCCTATACCCTGGTTTCAGCCTTGCCCTCGTCCAGCCCTGGTTGTTGCAGGCATTTGGGCAATGAGTAGGAGATCTCTTTCTCTGTCTCTCCCTCTGTTGCTCTGCCTTTAAAATAAATGAATAGATGAACTTGAAAAGATAGCAGTTAAGAGCACAAAGTTTGAGCTCTGGAGCAATTAATGACAGACATGTGAATTGTCTGTTTCAATTATTCGTTCTTCTTTGTTTATTATTAAAATAAGAACCCTGTAGGGCAGGCATTGTGGTGCAGTGGGTTAAGCCACCAGGATCCTGTATCAGAACACCTGGGATCAAGTCTCACCTCTGCTTCCTCTCTAGCTTCCTGCTAATGCACCTGGGAAGCAACAGATGATGGTCCACGTCCTGGAGTTCCTGCCACTCACAGGAGAGACTTGGATGGAGTTTCTGGCTCCTGGCTTCAACCTGCTCCAGCCCTGGCTGTTGTGGACATTTGGGGAGTGAACCAGTGACTGGAAGATCTGTCTCTGTCTCTGTTTCTGTTTCTGTCTGTCTCTGTCTCTCTCTCTGTGTGTGTATGTGTATGTCTGTCACTCTCTCTCCTTCTGTAACTTTTTAAATCAAAAACAGAGTAAAAACCTTGGTTGTTAGATGGGCACATTAGGCCTGGAATAAACATCTGTGTCTCCTCTATCCCCTTGTAACTAAGCTCTGGCTTCCAGGGTGTTGTACCATCATGGCTGGAGCTCCAGTAGCCTCCTTGGACTATGAGGTGACTTTAGGCTAGAAGCCAGTACATTGGACATAGAACAGAAAGCTAGAACTTGGGTCTTTGATGACACATGGAACCGTCATACTGGAACTTGAGGCCTATTTCCAGGTTTATTTTTATATAAGAGAAAAATAAACTTCTATATTGTTAAAGATATAATTAATTTGAGGTTTTCTCCTGTATACAAAAGGGCCCATCTATAGCTGATGATTGTGGTAGGTTCCCTCAACTTCCCTCCGTTTCACACATACACACACACACACACACTGACATCAAGTTGCTGGGCCCTATGAATATTTCTCTATTTGGAAAAAGATTCTTTGCAGATGTAATTAAGTTAAGGCTCTTAAAATGAGCTCGTCCTGGTTATCCAGGTGGGCCCTAAATCCAGTGACAAGTGTTTTTTTAAGAGACACACAGAGGAGGAGATGCCAGGACTACAGAGGCAGACTGATGTGGCCACGAGGCCACAAGTGAAGAAGTCTGTAGCTACAAAGGACCCAGAGGGCACAGGGAATGGACTCTCCCAGGGAAAGCAGAGCCCGTCAACACCGTGACTTCAGATTTTGGACCTCAAGGACTGTAGGAGAATTGGTTCTGCTGTTTGAAGCTCCCAGATTTGTGATCCTTTGGTACACCAGCTGTGGGAAATCAACTCCGGTTACTGAAACAACCCAAGTGGAGAGACGAAGTGAGTGAGCAAACAACACGGATCACGAGACAACGCGGGCAAGGTTCTTCAGGGGAAGGCAGCGTGTTGGGCAGCAACACTCAGAGCAGAACCTGGGCAGGAAACGGCCAGGCAGTGGCCAGAGAAGGGGAAGCCACAGCAGGGCCAGCCGAGCCACAGCGCCACATGCTGCTTGGGCCAGCGTGGAGCTGCGGCCACGGAAATGGACAATTTCACATCCTCAGCGAGGATGAGTTTGCTTTTCATCAAAGTGCAGTGGTGGGAGCAGGAGGGAGGCACCAAGGATTTGGGGGTGAGTGGGTGGCTGGGATGGGGAAGCAATGAGTGTAGAAAACTCACACGTGTGTGTGAGTGATAGAGAAAGCACTACAGAAGGCAGAAAGATGTGCTGTCCATGCGTGCATCTCTTTGAAAGGCAGAGAGAGGAAGAAAATGCTCCCAATCTACTGGTGTGCACCCTAAATGCTCACAACAGCTGGGGCTGGGCCAGGCCAAAGCCAGGAGATGGGAACTCCATTCAGGTCTCCCACACGGATGGCAGGGACCTAAGTACTTGAGTCATCACCTGTTGGCCCTCAAGGTGTGTATTAGCAGGAAGCTGGAATGGAGAGCAGAGGCAGGACTCAAACTCAAACCCAGACCCCAGTAGAGGATGTGGGTGACCCAAGTGGTGGTTTCACTGTGCGAATGCCCGTCTTGAGGAGTCTCTTGGTAGAGACTCAAAGAAGCTCAGTTGCTGATGCATGTACAGTAGAGAGGAGAAGCTTGAAGAAAAAGGATGATTGCAGGGGCCGGCCCCCTGGCGTAGTAGGTTAATTCTCCGCCTGCAGCGCCAGCATCCCATATGGATGCTGGTTCTAGTCCTGGCTGCTCCTCTTCCAATCCAGCTTTCTGCTATGGCCTGGGAAAGCAGTAGAAGATACCCCAAGTCCTTGGGCCCCTGCACCCGCATGGGAGACCCTAAAGAAGCTCCTGGCTCCTAACTTCAGATCGGTACAGCTCTGGCCATTGCAGCCATATGGGGAGTGAACCAGTGGGTGGAAGACCTCTCTCTATCTCTTCCTTTCACTGTCTGTAACTCTACCACTCAAATAAATAAATAAAATATTTAAAAAAAAGAAAAAGGTGATTGCAAAGGGAAGGTAAACAAATGGATCTCAGCACAGGCAAGTGACAAAGGTTTGTGGCAATCTATGATATGAAAGGCAAAGTCACCTGCCCAGATGGATAAAAACTTGTGGGATAGATGCTTGCTTAATTATTGATTTATTTAAAATATTTTATTTATTTTCATTTACTCAAAAGGCAGAGAGAGAGAGAGAGGGAGAGAGGGAGAGAGGGAGAGAGAGAGAGAGAGAGAGATTCACTTCCCAAATTCTCACAACAGCTAGGCTGAAGCCAGGAGCCAGGAACTCCATCCTGATCTCCTCCCTGGATGGCAGGGACCCAATCACTTGAGCCGTCATCCACTGTCTCCTAGGCTGCATAAGCATGAAGCAGGATCAGATGTGCTATAGCCAGGACTTGAACTAGCACTCTCACAGGGAATGTAGGTATCCCAAACAGCAGCTTAACCACAATGGCTGCCCCTGAAATGCGGCATCTTAACTACTGTGCCAAATGCCTGCCCCAGAATGTCGTTAGGCAAAAAAAAAAAAAAAAAAAGTGAAAAAGGTTTTAAATAGCTCCTGAGAAGCCTAAAAGGAGAGTGGAAGGCTTGCTGAAGTCTGCTAAAGGCGGCTGAAGATAGAGACCAAGGATTTAGGGACCCTAGCCAGTGTGATTGTGCAAAGCAGCCCAGCCAGTCCAGGGAGAGCAGACAACGGATGAATCTACACTGGAAATTATCCAGGCCAGCGGGACTAGTGGAGTGCTGACAAAAGTGATTGACAAGATGTGCCGAAACATGGCAGTTGGATGAGGAAGGAACAACAAAGGGGAGCAAGAGAAGCTGGGTGATAGAATTGGAAGGAGAGGAATGGTGGCCATAGAGAAGGGTTTGAATTTTCAGCGTCAGAGGTGAAGCTGTTCTGAGTGACAGTGCAGAGTGTGGCGATGAGTGGCTAAGACCCTACGGGGCAGGCTGGAGATGGTTCATTAGGGAGCTCACTGTGCATGTCTCCATCCCTTTCCTGCCACTATAACAAATCCCGGAGGTTGGGTCGTGCATCAGGAAAAGAGGTTGATTTGGGCTCTTAGTTCTGGGGGCCCAAGAGCATGGCCCTGGCATCCGCTGAGGGTTTTGTGCTGCATCACAGCATGGTGGGGAAGCAGAAGGCAGAAGTAGGCATTTGCACCAGGAGCACAGGTGTGAAAGAGGGGACGGTGCCAGGCTGGCTTCCAGTAAGCAGCTCTGCTGGTCACTAATCCAGTCCCTTGAGCCTTACCTCACTCCCAGGACAGAGAATCCAGTCTGTCCAGAAAAACACTCATCTATTTCTGAGGGCCATGCTTCCAGGACCTCATGACCTCCCGAGGTTCCCACCTACTGGGGAACTGAGCTTCAACAGGAGCGTTGGTGGCCACAAACCATACTCAAACCATAGTACCAACCAGTCCAGAACAGCAGGTGGGAGTCGGGACTGTTCTGAGTAAACCAGGGTGTGTGGTCTTCCTAACACTTGGCCGTTCGGGCGTGGGCAGGCCTCAGGATGAAGACATCGATAGGGCCTCCCTGTGATGCCACTGGGGGCTGGCGGGGCTGCAGATAGTTGGACACAGTGTGGGCCAAGGTGGCATGGTCAATGCCAAGAGCCTCGCCATGGAAAGGCTTTACAAGAGGGTCGCCTTCCAACAGAACACCACGTCTGGGTAATTTATAATGAACATGAGTTTATTTCCTTAGTCCTGGAGGCTGGGAGAGTCCAATATTACGGTGCTGGCCCCTGGCCAGGGCATCATCCCATGGCAGAAAGCAGCAGGGCAAGAGTTTTTATACCAAACCCACTCTCCTTACAGTGAATCTGCTGCCACATTATTGCAAAAAGGACACGACTCCCTTATTCACTTCTTTTTTTTATTTATTTTTATTTTTGACAGGCAGAGTGGACAGTGAGAGAGAGAGAGAGACAGAGAGAAAGAGAAAGGTCTTCCTTTGCTGTTGGTTCACCCTCCAATGGCCGCCGTGGCCGGCACACCACGCTGATCCAAAGCCAGGAGCCAGGTGCTTCTCTTGGTCTCCCATGGGGTGCAGGGCCCAAGCACTTGGGCCATCCTCCACTGCACTCCTGGGCCACAGCAGAGAGCTGGCCTGGAAGAGGGACAACCGGGACAGAATCCGGCGCCCCGACCAGGACTAGAACCCTGTGTGCCGGCGCCACAAGGCAGAGGATTAGCCTATTGAGCCACAGCGCCGGCTCCCCTTATTCACTTCTTAAAGGTCCTACCTCTGAACATGGACGCATTGCAGGCTAGGTTTCTAATACCTGAAGCTTGCAGGAGGTCATGGATGCTCAGCAAAACTCACTGCTTCTGCTAGAGCTCCTGCGGTCTCTGAATGTTCCAGACCAGATGTCACAGTCTCCCGTTGCTGTGTCTACAAACCACAAGGGCTTTCTGAGTTTATCCACTCATTCCTTAAGTAAACAGAGGGCCTGCTCTGATCCGGTGCTGGGTTAGACAAAGGAGTTACAGCTCCTGAGAGTATCTTAGTCCAGTAGTGGTGCTGGGTGGCAGGGGATAGGAAGGGAGGACTTCGCAAATATCCTAAGCTTCACAACTATCCTAAGACCATGCAAACACCCCATAGTCAAGGATAAACAAGAGGCTACAGGTGTGAGGGGGAGGGTGGGGTTTGTGATCACAGAAGTCTTCTTGGAGAAAGGAATTTTTCAGCTGAGTCTTGCAGGGCAGGAGGATACTCCCAGGAAGACTGAAAGAGGAGGCTCTTCCTGGTATGGAAACAGCATGTGCAAAGACACGGAGGCAGGGGAGGGCCTCACATGTGTGGGGAGAGCCCAGTTCCTGCACTTTGCCGGATGGTGATGTAAGGGCTGGAGGGCGGGTTGTACCTGCGATGAGGGTAGAAAGGTGGCCAGGAATCAGATGTCCCAAACGCCTTGAGTGTTATCTCCTTCAGATGTTTGAACTTTCATCCAGTGAGCTGCCAGGGAAAGACTACACAGAGAGGGAAGGCCAAGCGGTGACTGGGGAGACAGTTCCAGCCCTTCCCAAAGTCTCCACCAGCCCGCTTCCCTTCCAGTCTCCGATGTAGGCAAGGATCTTCTCAGGATAAGAAAGAGAGCTCTGCATAGCAGTGGGGGCTGAAATCCACCTAAAGCTCACCAGACCCTGTGCCCTGGCAACAAGAGGCTGCTGCATCTGTGGACAGGAGGTCACGTGTGCATGTGTGTGCATGCGTGTGTGTGTGTGTGTGCACATGTATGCAAAGGTAGTGCTGTGTTGAGGTGGAACGTGGAGTCACATCTGGCGAGAGTTTGGCCCTGTCCTGGTGGGGGATGGGGCAGACGTGCCTGCAAGTGCACTTGCCATGTTGCCATCTCTGCTGTAAACTGACACCTTCTGTGTCAACACACAGTCCAGAGGGACCCAGTGCCCAGCCCGGCCCAGCCCAGGGGCAAATCCCAGCCTTGCTTGTGTGTACTTTGCTGTTTATTCTGACACATGATGTGCGTGCGGGTTGAACTGAAGGCGATTCCCTCACATGACCCTGCCGCTTCTCTGAGCTCAGTGCCCTTGGTTTGAAACTCCACCAACCCCTACCAGATCTGTTGCCTGGGCGTTAGGGACAGACATCACCCTGCCCACTCCCGTACCTCTTCTCTGCAGATACACTGAATATGGTTATTATTGAAACGATCGATACCACCCCCACCCCCCACACAAAGCTGCTTACTGACAGCCAGCAAAGCACCTTCCGGCCCCTCCCTTCATTTGACCCTGTCAGTCACTATAGAGGCTTACAGGAATAGGATCCCCATTCCGGTTTGATAACTGGGGAAACTGAGGTTTGCAGAGACCAGGTTTCTTTTCTCCAGATCTTATCTTCTCTCCAGTGCCCCATTTTGGAAACCATGGGGTAGCTGGAGTCACCAGACAGGGAAGGGGACAGGGACACGAGCCTTACCTGGGAGTTCTCACCTACCTTCAGTTCTGAGGACACTCCACGAGGCTGGCCAAGGAAGGGAGAGCCAGGACTTGGCGGTGGGTTAGGAGCAGGTGGCTTGGTGATCGGCTTCTTGGGTGATGCTGGCAAGTCCTTTTCCTTCCTCTTCCTGGGCCATGGTGCCTCCTCCTCTGTAGAGTGAGGGTCTGGACTAGGACTGCTGCTGTTTTAAATGTGAAGTTGCTAGTGTGTACGCGACAGAGGAGGGAGGCACGGAGATTGGGCCTGGCCGGGTCTGTAGACCTCTGATACCCAGCTGGTCCCAAAAACCAATGACCCCCACCCCACCGCAGGTGTTGTCTTAGGGCATCCTGGTACCTACACCCCCTGTGGCCTCAGGTCATTCGGCTGCTATCCAGGCAGGCTGCCTGTAAGCCACTCACATTTATCGATCACCTTATGGGTACAGAGTCCACTGGTGATCAGCTGTGCTGCAGGCAAGGGAAACGGGAAACGTACAAAACCAAAAAAAGCCATCCAGACTTCCAAGGGGAGTGTACTCTGCCCACTCGTGCATCCATCTTTCCAATCACTCATCGACCTAGCAAACACTCCTGTTCATCTACTAGCTGTGCCCTGAGCTCTCTGTTGGAGCTATTGGGGGTATGGGCACGAAGGGGCAGATGCCATCAGTGTGGTCAGTGAGGTCACCAGGTCCGACGTGCACCCTCCCGGCATCACATGACTGAAGGACTGGGACGGACCTCAGAGGTATCAGACCCTTAGCCTCAGACTGAGGCCCATGGAAGTGTTTGGTATGGCTGGCACTTTGGTTTGCCACAGGTGCCACGGCTACCTGGTCATCGCCTTAACCTGGTGATCTCCTGCCTGCGCCTGATTGGAATTTGCAACCCATGCTAAGGGAGAATGGCAGCACTTCAACAGAACGGGCCACCTTCATCTAGAAGGTGAGTAGGGGGGGCAGAGACAGCTGGGGCTGGCTGCACCAGGGCCTCCTCTGGGCTCCCCAACTGTGTACCTGTGAGTAAGAGCCCTTCTCCGGCCGGCGCCGTGGCTCACTAGGCTAATCCTCCACCTGCGGCGCCGGCACTCCAGGTTCTAGTCCTGGTTGGGGCGCTGGATTCTGTCCCGGTTGTTCCTCTTCCAGGCCAGCTCTCTGCTGTGGCCCGGGAAGGCAGTGGAGGATGGCCCAAGTGCTTGGGCTCTGCACCTGCATGGGAGACCAGGAGGAAGCACCTGGCTCCTGGCTTTGGATCGGCGTATCGTGCTGGCCGTAGTGGCCATTTGGAGGGTGAACCAACGGAAGGAAGACCTTTCTCTCTGTCTCTCTCTCTCACTATCTAACTCTGCCTGTCCAAAAAAAAAAAAAAGCCCCTCTCTGGACAGCAGTTTTTCTATAAAATCCAGAGAAGGTCTCAGTCCTACCTGACACCCTTTGAAGCTCAAAGACGGTAGCAGACTTGTAGAGATGAGTCAGAATATTTCTGTGGGCAGGTGTTTAGCCTAGTGGTTAGGAAATCAGGGTCCCAACCCTGGTTTGGTCTCCTTACTCCAGCTTCCTACCCAGGTGGACCTTGGTGGGGTGGGAGGGCCTGCTCTGACGATTTAGATGGCTGAGTCCCTGCCACCCGTGTGGGGGACATGGACTGGGTTCTTGGTTCCAAAATTCACCCTGGCCCTTCCTGGCTGTTGCAGGCATTTGGGGAGTGAACCAGCAGAAGGGAGCATGTACTCTCTACCTCTCTCAGTTCCTCTGTGTGTGTCTCTGCCTCTCCAGTAAGTAATTAAAAAAAAAAAAAGATTTATTTATTTATTTGAAAATCAGAGTTACATAGAGGGAGAAGGGGAGAGAAAGAGAGAGAGAGAGAGGGAGAGAGTCTTCCATCTGCTGGTTCACTCCCCAATTGGCTGCAATGGCTGGAGCTGAGCTGATCCGAAGCCAGGAGCCAGGAGACTCTTCCAGGTCTCTCACGTGGGTGCAGGGGCCCAAGGACTTGGGCCATCTTCTACTGCTTTCCCAGGCCACAGGAGAGAGCTGGATTGGAACTGGAGCAGCCAAGACTCGAACCAGCGCCCATATGGGATGCTAGCACTGCAGGAGGTGGCTTTACCTGCTATACCACAGCGCCGGCCCCTTTCATTGTATTTTGTGAGTTATTTCTTTGGGAATTGTTCTAGGGCTTCTTACACATATTAATGTATCATTCTGAAGCAGACACTGGTTCCAATCCAGCTCTCTACTGTGGCCTGGAAAAGCAGTGGAAGATGGCCCAAGTCCTTGGGCCCCTGCACCTGTGTGGGAGACCTGGAAGAAGCTCCTGGCTCCTGGCTTCGGATCAGCGCAGTTCTGGCCGTGCGGCCATCTGGAGAGTGAACCAGCAGATGAAAGACTGATCTCTCTCTCTCTCTCTCTCTCTCTCTCTCTCTCTCTCTCTCTCTCTGCCTCTGCTGGATAGGAAGTGGAGCAGTGGGGACTCTAACCGGCACCCATATAGGATGCCAACACTGCAGGCGGTGGCTTTACCTTCCACACCACAGCGCCAGCACCTCAAATAAATAAATTTCTAAAAATTAGTTATCACATTTCCAACAGACATGTGTTTTCTGTTTAAACAAATAGGTTTAACACTGTTCAAAAATATAAAAGGTAGTTTCTAGGTGTGTCTTTGATGCATATAAATAATTAGGTATGATAAGGATACACGCTATATTTTGCATCGAGCATTGCAAATTGTTTTCTTGGAAAGCACGGAGATCTGACATCAGAGGAGCTCTAGCTGGTGGGAAAGGGCCGCACTTGGTGACCCCAGGAGGCTCTCCTGGCGCGGGCATCCATGGATGCGCTTAGGTGCCGGGCCTCGAACAGGGAAAGGGAGAAACCCTCCGGGATCGCTGACCTTTACAAAGCGCCTTCTGCTTTCCAAACCCAACTTGGTGAGCTTGCAAACACCGCCTGGGGCCGGACAGCGATCAACCCCATCCTGCAGAGGGGGAAACGGGCGCCCCCGCAGCGGCCAGTGCCACGCAGAGGTCACTGCAAAGTGAACGCCGCCGGGCCGGACTGGAGGTGGGAAAGATGACTTGGGGCCTCCGCCAGGCAGGCAGGCAGGTCCGCTGGGCGGGCACCGAGCCGCTGGGCCCCGCCGATCGGTCCCAGCGGCCTGGTCGTTAGGGGCCCGTCGCGCCGGGCCGGAGCTCCCCCAGGCTGAGGAGGCCTAACTGGGTTGTCCCGAGGAGCTGGGTGACAGTCGCCTTCCCGGGGGCCCCAGGGCCCAAGCTGAGGTCCCGGCAGCCCGCCGAAGCGCCAGGGGAGGCCCGGGACTGGGGTCCTGGCGGACGAGAGCGGCGAGAGGCGAGGCGGGCCCGGGGCAGAAACAGGAGAAGGCGGAGGGGGTGGAGGGAAGGCGAGGGCAGGGGGCGGGGAGTCCTTCCCCGGGCAGGAACCCCGGCCCCCCCTGGCGCGGCCGGCCCGCGAAGCGATTCCGCAGATGGAAGGAATTAAGTGGGAGGGGGAGGGTCCCGCGGTGCTAGCGAGGGGAGGGAGAAGCGCAGAGAAACATCCGACCAGAAGCAGAGAGACGGAGACGGAGGCGTAGACGCGGACTGCCCGACGGACGGAGAGACCCGGGGCCTGGGAGACCCTGAGACACGGGCCGCAGCGGGCGTGGGGAACAAGGGAGGCGGACGCGAGTCCAGAGGAAAGGACAGCAGTGAGCCTTCGGGCAGGCGAGATGACACTGAAGAGGCCGGGGCGGCACCGAGCTCGCCGCGGGGTCCGGGTGCTGGGTGGGCCGGGCGGCGGCGGGGTGGGGCTAGGAAGGGGGCCGCCCACGGGCCAGCCAGCGCCGCTCTGCACATGCAGATCCGCCCCGGTCGCCTCTCGCCGCGCCCCCTTCATTCCATATTCAACGGAGCAGCCAATGGGGGCGAAAGACGGCGCAGGGTGGGGGCGGGGCCTCCTGAGCCCCCGCCCACGGGGCGGACGCCGAAAGGGTCAGCGTTGAGGCAGATAGCGGATCGCAGGGCGGGGCGGGGCGGGCGGCGCGGCGGGGCGGAGCCGAAAGTTTCCTGCCCAACTTTCGCTGCCTCCTTCCTCCGCCCGCGCGCGCCCCGGCTGCAGTCGGGGGGAGGCGGCGGCGGCGGCGGCGGCTGCGGGCAGCGCGCGGGGCGCAGGGCGCGGGGCGCGGGGCGATCGCCGTCGCGGCCCGGGCGGCTGGCAGCGGGCGCAGGCTCCCCGGTGCCCGCCCCTCCGCTGGAGGGGGGGCGCGAGCGGGCGGCCGGGGAGGGGCCGGCACCGCCGCGGCAAAATGAGCCTGCTGTCGGCCATCGACACGAGCGCCGCCTCGGTCTACCAGCCGGCCCAGCTGCTCAACTGGGTCTACCTGTCGCTGCAGGACACGCACCAGGCCAGTGCCTTCGATGCCTTCCGGCCGGAGCCGCCCGCCGGCGCCGCGCCCCCGGAGCTGGCCTTCGGCAAGGGCCGCCCGGAGCAGCTGGGTTCGCCCCTGCACTCCAGCTATCTCAACAGCTTCTTCCAGCTGCAGCGCGGAGAGGTGGGTGCCCCGCGCTCCCCCCGCCTCGCGCCCCGCCGCTCCGGGCCGCTTCCTATCTGCCCGGCTCTTCCTGGCCCGGCCCTCGCCGACTCCGCACTGCCGGGCCGGGCTTGGCTTGAATTCGTTCAGCTCTGCCAAACTCGCCGCCCCAAGTCCCCGGGGCTCCGGCAGCGCGTCACCTCCCGGCTGAGCCTGGCCCGGAGCAGCTCTGCTTGTCCTGGGGGCTGGGGGGCACGGGTGCGTGTGGCGGGCGTCTGGGGAGGGAGTCTCTCCAAACAGCCGGGTGCGGCCAGGGCGGGGAGCCCCTTCCAAGTGTCCTTCCCACGCCCAGCCCTATCCCCTCCTGGCCACCGCTGGCTGGGACCGGGAGTGCAGATTCTACGGGAAGAGCCTCTGGCAAGGGCCTAGGATCTTTTCTCCTCCGTCCTCGGCGATCCCCAGCCCCTGGAGATCCATGACTCGCCGCTCCTGCTCGTCCCACCCTGGGACCCCCAGCTTCCCGCCCTCTCCCAGCCACATAGGAAGTGGTTTCTGAGGGCTTGACCCCACAGACTGTGCTGTCCCCTGCCCTCCCAGCCTGGAAGGAAATGAAATGGAAATCCTCTTGAGCTCTTGGGAGGGGGACCAGATAGGGGGGAGAGGTTTCAGTTGCCCAGCGCCTTCTACACAAACCTATGCGCCTGTGTTGCAAAGTCTGGCTCTTTGGTGGATTCAGTTACAAAGTGGCCGGGCAGTGCCTGCTTTCCAGCTAGATAAATACACAGATTCCTGACCTCTCAGCCCCTTCCCTGTTGCCTCCTCCCGGCCCACTTGCTTCCTGCCTCATTTGGGAATTGTAGACCTCTCTGTGGTCCCGGCTGCCTCCCCTTGTGGTTCTCCCTGCCCAGGGTGCAGGGGGTGGGTGCTGCTGGAGAGGACACCCGGGGGTTGTTTCCTTCTAGACCTGGGGACTCTGAGTTCTGAATGGGTGGTGGGAGGAGCCCATGGATGCCAGGGTGCGCTGGAGATGAGAGAGGGAGGCAGAGGGTCGCTCTTTCTGGTCTCAACGGCTTCCACTCTGCCATGATTTGCTTGCTGGGTGAGACGTGGAGGTGGAAGACATCGGCTTGAGGCCCATGCGTCCAGGGCTGACCTGTTGACCTCTGTGGGCGGACGTGGGCAGAGTGCAGGGAGGCTGGCCGGGGTGCCTGGTGAAACACCTGTGTGCCAAAGCTCTTTGTGAAGGAGGAAGCCGTCTCTCCGCGTGTGGACTCATTCCTGGCCCCACACTTTTCCTTCTCCTGAGAGGCCTTGTCGCCTCTTCGGGGAGCTGGCTTCAGGTGACTGGGCATTGCCGGACCGTTCGGGGGTTCCTTGCTCGGTGTCTGGTTCGTTTCAGTTGTCTATGCTCTCACCAAACATTTGTGGAACTCTTGTGGGCGCTGGGGGAGGCACAGTCCCAGACTGGCTTGTGGGGCGGGAGAGAGGAAGACAGGCGATGTGGTAGGAAGGGTGGGTGGCTTGGGAGCGCCTGTGACCCCTGCAAGTCTGTCTGCTCCCACTCTGTGGTGGCCTTGTTGCCACCTGTGTGGCCCTTGGCAGCGCCTGGGGAGTTTGGGGCCACGACAGGTCCGCTGTGGGAGTAGGGATGCCGTGTCTTCTTGGAAGTTGCTAGCGTCTGGGATTCCAGCTGGGTCTCGGGAAGATGTGCCCCCTGTCACTCCACTGTCGCTCACCTCAGTTTCCCTGTGAAGCAGGTACAATGTGGGAAGGAAGGAGTGACCTGACTTTAGGGCATCCCTTGCCCCTCCGCGGGCCTCAGTTTACCCATGTCTCAGGGCGGGGCGTCTGGGATGTGCCTACAGCCAGGCTAGGGTGCAGAGGAGAGAGACAAAAGAAGCTTCCCTGATGCTCACAGGCCAGGAGCTTCCCTAGAGGGGCAGGACGGCCGTGTCTGCTGACTTCCGGAAAGCTCTGTCTCGCTCATCCTCACCCCCCCCCCCCCACTTCGCATCTTAAACCCTCTCAGAGCCCCAGCTGTGCTCCTGGGGACAGGCCTTTCCTGCGTCCAGGGCTTAGCCAGTGACCTAATATGGCTCCAAATAGCAACTGGCTGAGAAAGGCAAGAAAAAATACCCCCACCTCAGTGCCGCCGAGGGGCTGGTCGGAGAGGAAGTAAAGTTGCATGTGGGCTGCAGGGGACTCTACGGAGGGACCCGGGGGCCCGGAGCGTCGCTATTCTGTGCAAGGCCTGGCAGGCGCAGTGGCAGTGCCTGCGGATGTGACTTGCATGCTGACCGCTGACCACGGCCTGTCTGCGCCAGCCCCTGTGCCAAGAGCCCACCCCTCCTGCACCCACCACAATAGCAAAAACACCATGAATGCAGCTGGGCTGGGGGGAGAAGCAGTGAGGACATGGGGGCACAGAAGCCCATTGTGCCCCTGGAACCTCGGCTCTGAGAGCTGAAGATAAGCCAAGGGTTCCGAGCGGCGCGCTGGCCCTGGGAGCATCGAGAGGCGGCAGGGTTCACATGCAAGTGCACCAGCAAGCGCCAGGAGGTAACTTAGAGCAGGCGCAGGCACTTTGAGCGCTTTTCTTAAGAGGTTTGTGCGTCTAGAAACTTGTCCCTGTGAAGCTCACTTTCAAAAACGGATCTGGGCCAACGGCCGTGCGACTCTGCAGAGAGATTCCCGAGGCCCTGGCTGAACCCCTCCTCTCTCTCTCCAGGTACCCAAGAACGCAGCTCTTAAGAGTGGGGGTGGGCCTGCACGGGGTCTTCCCTGCCAAATTTTGTATGGAATTTAAATTCATGGCCGTGCAGGGGCTGGGGGATCCTGCCGCTGGAAAAGTCCAGTTGCTGTCTTGCAAGGCACCGCCCCTTGGGCCCCCGGGGTGGGTGTGTAGCCCTCCCTCCAACCCCCAGGAGTCCCCATCCTCACAGCTGTTTGCTCTCCTTCTTCCTCTAGGGGAAGAGGTGGCAGGAAGGTGTGGCTCCGCGCTGAAATGACCCCTCCTTTGTGGGTACTGGGAGAGAGGCTTTGGAGTCAAATCCACTTGGGGAGCATAGCCTACCCTCCTTCCCCCTGGAGACATACGATGCCTGCTCACCTGGTAAAGGCTCTGAGAAAGCCCACACTACAAAACCTGCTAGCCTTTCTTCCGCTCAGCACTTCCCAGTTCTGTTTGCTCAGAGACCATTTCCGGTATGAAACGCCTGCCAGCATTCTTCCGAAGAGCTCCAGGCCCAGGGGTGCCCACCGAGGCAGCCCTCTCCCTCGATGGGTGGCTCCCACCTTTAGGGAGCTCTTGAGAGAGCTGGCAACACAGGTGCCCTCCCTGGTGCTGGGAACTTGCCCTGGGGCACCAAACACCCCTCCTCATCGCCACTGTGGCCTGCCCATTGGAGACTAAAGAATGACGGCAGAGGTGTCATGACACTTTCCCGGCAGCCTCCTCGCTCAGTGCCCAGTTCTCTGAGGGCAGGGCTCCCAGGGCTGGCTGTGTCACCTGTGTTCTCCCTGGGTGCAGGTGAGCCGAGGAGCTGCCCTGAGCTCTGTGGGTGGCTAAAACAAAGCCGTGCTTCTGTCCAAGGGTGCAGTTGGCCTGGCAGCGGCTGAGAGTGGGCTTCAGCCTCCCAGGTTGGTTCCCAGCAGCCTCTGTGGCCTATGTTGGGTGGGCCAGGGAGGGGTGCGGCTCTGGGGCCCTGTGAGGAGTGGCCAGTCCAGCCCAGCCAGGGACATGGGAGGGTGCCCCCCATTTCCTTGGCCACCATCGGGAAGCTATACTATGACTCAAGAAGGGAGGACTGTTATTTGAGAGGCCGTTGGCCAAGGGGGCCTGACCCTCCCTCCATCAAGTGACGCTGACTGGGCGGGCGGGCTCCCGGGGAAGGCCACAGCTCGTGGCCCCTCTGAGTCAAGTGACAGGGAGGGAAGCAGGCGACGTTGGTAATTAGTAACTGGCAGAGGCAGGGAGCTGGGCGCTGTCAGCACCAAGAGGAGGGCCCTTGGAGAAGATGGCTTTGAAGAGCAGCCGCCTGCTCTTGGGTGGTGCTGTGTACTGGACACCTCTTTCCATAGGGATCCCATTATGCAGAAGAGAACACAGAGGCCCAGCGAGTCCGGGGCAGAGCTAGATCCAGGACCCTTCCACGTTCCAGCTTCCAGCTCCCTCTGTGGTCTCCAGCATAGCTCTCAGCTGAGTGGTGCCCTGGGCCCCAGTGCAGAACAAGCAGGAACCAGGGGCACCCTGTCAGGCCTCAGTGCCTGTGGCACTTTGTCCCTGATCCCTAACCTTTTAAGGAGTGGTAGGCGTTGGTTTGGCATGGGCCCTGGATTTCCTACGGTGTCCCTGCTTTGGCTGGCCTGCTGTTGGAGAAGCAGAGGAGGTGGGCGCTGAACACTTTGTGGGTGCTTTTGTATCC